TATAAGACCACATATACTCAAATTTTAAATCATGAAAATCCCATGAGTCTTTGCTGCCTGAGCATAAGTTGAATTTTCTCCATGTCCATGGGCTGAAAAAAATAAACTAAAGAATGTGGACAACCACAATGGCTGCTAGCTTAATCATAAAAAATAAAACAACTTTACTTAAGTAATAAGCATTTCTTATATTATTGCATTTGGCCCGCGGCCCTCAGATTGATTTTAATTTTGGCCCTCTCAGGAAAAATGTTTTTTTTTTTTTTTAATTTTGGCCCTCTCAGGAAAAATGTTTGGGCAGCCCTGCTTTAAAAGTTTTCAAACACAAAAACACAAATGAAACAAAACTAAATGTCATTAAATGATACATATCATGCTTTTAAATCCTTCTTTTTCCACATCGAAATCATTCAGTTCAGTCTATATAAAGTGGAACAGCAATGATATGTTCTGAATTCCCCATTGTAACTCCACAAGCCCCTCTTTCACCCCTTTTCTGAGATGTGTCTCAGATTAACTCATTTTGAGGCTGTCTCTTTAAATCCAAATAAGGCACATCAAGCCCCGCCCCCTCCAGCTTCCAGACTGGTCCATTCTAGGTTGATAGAGGAGTTTATGACTATATAGCAGCAAGTAAACTTTTTATTTACAAATGAATTAAAGACTGTCAACAAGGTAAGACTTGTTCATCCAGTCTTGTTGGAGCCAGAGTCTGACGCAGAACCAGAGGAGAATAAAGACCATCAAATTGTAGTTGGTACGTCCAAACCTTATTTGGAAGTTCTGTCACAAATATTGTGACGTAATAGTTCAGAAAACATCATAGAGAATAGAGAAAACTGAATGAGTTGAAAAATATGACCCAAACAGAATATAAAACTAGGAGAGGCTAAATTYAAAATCTCTGCCCTCCTAGATACTAGATACAAATTACACAATAAAATGCATTAACAGCTAAAAAGGTGGATTTTGCATGACATGTCCCCTTTAGTTCATATTTTCATGTAGTGAAGAATCTGAATCCCTTGGGTGTATGCTGGCTCGGCCCAGTGGCTGCCTGGTGGGGCCTGGGTCTTCTGATAGGGCCAGCCATTATTGCTGTGTTTTTGTTTTCTCCATTTTTACAGGTGTGCAGACAGATGCCGGGTGTGTTGTCTTGTGTTTTCTTGGTTTGTATTTCACATATCTAATCTCTTTCAACCTTCTCTTTCTTTTTCTTATCTCCAATTTAAAAAAAACTGTCACTGATGATGAAGAAACTAAACTAACATTCAGTTCTGTTTTCTACTGAAGTGGCTAGAAAAAAATGATGCCCTCTTAGATACTAATTACACAATAAAATCAATTTAACAGCTAAAAAGTGGATTTTGAACGACATGTCCTCTTTAGTTCATATTTTCATGTAGTGAAGAATCTGAATCTCTTGAGTTGTTTTTTGTTTTTTTTTGGAGATATTTTCTACATCTTCCAGTCTCTGTAAACTGCACAGTTACAGTTTTAGCTTTAACTTCAGAAATTTTGCCTGATACCACCCCCTTTCCTACCAACATGTCTTCCCATGAGGAAGCAGAGCCTGAGGACCCTGGGTTGGACTCTCCGATCTCTGGTGCCGAGGTCACTGAGGTGGTTAAAAAGCTCCACGGTAGCAAGGCACCTGGGGGGTGGATGAGATTCGCCCAGAGTGCCTTAAGGCTCTGGATGTTGTGGGGTTGCGTTGGTTGACGCAACTCTACAACATCGCGTGGACATCTGGAGCAGTTCCCCTGGATTGGCAATCCGGGATGGTGGTCCCCCTATTTAAAAAGTGGGACTGCAGAGTGTGTTCCAACTAYAGAGGGATCACACTTCTAAACCTCCCTGGTAAGGTCTATTCAGAGGTCCTGGAGAGKAGGGTCCATCGGATTGTCGAATCTCAGATTCAGGAAGAGGAGTGGTTTTCGTCCTGGTTGTATAACAGTGGACCAGTTCTACACACTCAGCAGAGCCTTGGAGGGTGCGTAGAAGTTTGCCCAACCAGTCTACATGTGTTTTGTGGACATGGAGAATGCGTTCGACTGTGTCCCTCTGGGACTCTTGTTGGGGGTACTCCCGGAGTATGGAGTACCAGGCCTGTTTATACAGGCTTTTAGGTCCCTGTAAGACCGGTGCCAGAGCTTGGTCTGCATTGCCGGTAATAATCCGGACTCATTGCCGGTGAGAGTTGGACTCCGCCAAGGCTGCCCTTTGTCACCGATTCTGTTCATTACTTTCATGGACAGAATTTCTAGGCGCAGCCAAGGTGTTGAGGGGATCCTTTTTGGTGACCTTAGGATCACATCTCTGCTTTTTGGGGATGATGTGGTCCTATTGRCCTCATCAGATCGTGATCTCCAACT